AGTACACTGATGAAAATTAATGTTGTATATCATTAACTGAACATAAATTTTTAGCCATTAAAATTTATGATCTAGAATATTTAACATAAGAAAATATTCACAATATTTTACACTGCTTTTGTATCCACTGTGTAATTCTATTCTAGTGAGAATAAGAACATGTCTACAGCCATACCACCCTGAAAGTGCCGATCTCATCTGATCTCATGAGATCTCGAAAGCTAAGCAGGGTTGGGCCTGGATAGTACTTGGATGGGAGAATAAGAATACGTATAAACATTAGCTATAAAACACTTGAATAAAAGCATTTATCACAGTGCTTAGCCCAAAGCAAAAATCCAATGAATGAAATGACTCATCGACATCGAAGGAAAAAGTATGATTATATACCCAAGTGACAGCGCTTCTTATCTAGCAGGAGAATTGCAAATAAACTATTATTTATTCACTTTAGACATCACTGTATATTACATGAAATAAACTACTACTATTGCATGGGGTGAAGTATTTTTAAATTGGCATTTTTTAAAAATGTTCCAGTTCACGATGAAAGGTGGGAAAGAAAAGCAGGCTCTACCAACCCTTCCCCCTTGGTAAGACTGACTACAGCTGTCAAATTCAGCAGCTAGATTATTACTCTTTCCCTTTTAGGCACTTCTTAGTCAGCATAAAACTTTGGAACCTGTACTTATTACCCTTTCTTGATCAATATCAGCTTTATCACTAGTCAGTTCCTCACAGTTGGCACCTAAAGGAGCTGGGGGGAGGGGAAGACTTAAGAACTTAAAATTGACAAAGTGCCAGAGATATAAATGGCTAAGTTTTGAACTTCATATTCCAAAAAAGACAGACAAGTGCTGGTTATGTGGTTCTTCAGATCTACAGCATAGCTGAGAGGCTAAGCACATCCAAATGTTCCAACAGCATCTAGGATCATTTTAGGAGGCCCGAATTAAGTAATTTCTCAAACTAGCAAAAACGAAACATGGCAAAAATAAGGCCAATTTTGCTTTTAAAAGGTAAGATAAATCTTCTCATAAGGATGATTACTTTTCCCATAATTTTTAACCTATTTTTCTGATGCAAGTAATGATCTCAAATGCATGAATTCACAAAAAGCAAAGTTAATATGATTCCATTATTCAACCACATTCATTACGCATAACCGAACCCTGCTAGTGACACACATTAGGACAGGGTGTTATGTTTATTTAGGGACATTAAAAACAAGCAAATGATTACAGTATTTTAAAACCCTAATATAAACATGTACCAAAAGTACAAAGATAAAACAGGAGGGAATACTGGGGGGAGAATACAGGATGAGAAGATGGGGGGGGGTATATCCATGAAAATTTTGTAGGAGGGGAAGATTCTTCTACACATACTAGCATACTGAGTTTTTTAAAACACAAGAAAAGATAAAATTTTAAGTCTGAAAGCAAAAGGCAATCAAGCTAAATCAGGTGAACAGTGATTTAGCTGATATGTACCTTATATAGATCAGCTGACTTCTATGCAAAAGCCTCAACTGCGCACATACTCATCTATATAAACGACCATTACTTTCCAAGGCTTTTATTTCTAGAATGCTTTCCAATTACACATGTGTACAATGTATGCATATATACGCATGTAAAATGTAAATGGAAGTGAAGATATATTCACATACATCCTCGGAACAACCTACCACAGGGTGTATTTTTAATGAGGCATTAATGACACAACCACAAAAATTTGCTTTGTATTTACAGAAAAATGATTCTAACCCAGATTACACCATTCCAAGTTTATCATATGACCTAATTCTAGTTAGCCTAGTTCTAAAATTTTATATAATCCCAATTTGCTATTAGAAAGCCTAGTATTGGCATGGCAAGTGTTTCTGGCTAACGTGAGCATAATAAGTGAAATACTCAATATTTCAGGTATTTTTCTCCTCCAAGTGCCTTGGCCAAATTGGCAAATGACACGTACTGTTGTATTAACTCAATAGCAAAGAACAAAGACCCTTACGGCTTTAAATGTTTAAGACGCTATAGAAAAGGTTTATTCAACGTGTACTTAGGTTTTATCTACTAGAAGCACTAGAATCTTAAACAATTTCTGTAAAACAAAAAATTACCAGAAAATAAATTGTGCATAGCTAGTTCATGACACAAAGAATTTTGCAATAGACGTATGTTATTACTGCCTTTTTAGACATGATTTGAAACAGTGAAATAACATTTTATACTACTCCAATTCCTTTCTTCATTTGGTTTGTTAACTGTATAAGACAAAGCCTTACACAAAACAAATCCTTCAATTCTTGATTAAATTGACACAACCTCCAAGGGTTACCTATTTTTCTACACAGACTCTAAACTCAAAAAATAATTTCAGAATGAGGCCTCTAAAGGGCTTACTGGATTTTACCACAATTACTAGCTATAAAAACGAACAATTTCCAAAGCAATGATGATTTTCATTTCTTTTAATCTGAACTGAAGTCAGGTGAAAAAGAATGAAGAGTATTAATAATCGTATTTAGTAAATTAAATCTCTATGAACTATGGCTTAAAGAAAGAACCAGAAAAATACGTATAAAATCTGTATTGCAGGACACTTAAACTACACTAAGGCTACAGAAGCTTCTGCCATAATCTCTCTTTTCTTCATAATATATAGGGTTATAAATAATACATTTCCATTTCAAAACATTACCTCAGAAATTAAAGATGAAACATAAATTATATTAGAAGCTACCTTCCAAATAAATTCACTCTTACTGGTTTAATTAATGCACAAGCAAACAACGCTGACTCTTAACAAAACTTAACACCAGATGAACACATCATTTTCCAATATAAGTTTTTAAAAATAAACCCCCTCCCAGATTGTCCCCATAAAAGGTTAACATCTCATGCCAAAATATTACATACTAAAATATATTACTTTTCCTACTCAAGAGTATTACAAAGCTCCTATTTGTGAAGATCGAGTTGTGTACGTCTGAATGAATGATTTCTAAAGTAGTCTCACACTAAGTATATTTAATATTTTTTTATAAGACAATTCTCCTGGTGAAGTTCAGTGTTTCAAAAACATCAACATATTGGGAATTAAACTACTAGAAGTATTTTCTTATTTAGTTTAACAGACACAAAAATACTCGCACTATTAATTTATCCATGGAAAATGAAAAAAAAGTGGACGATTTAGAAACAATCTATTTTGTCTATGTGTCAATTCACATTCCAGTCGTTTTCCTATCAGCTGTCTCCAAAAGGAGATATTCAGTACTTTAAAAAATTACATAGTTTTTGCCCATCTCTAAAATAGAACTTAACATTCCGATCCCAGCTACTTGATTGAAAGATACCAATAAAGTTACCGTCATTCTGTTCAGCTTTTTAAAAGCAGATTTTCTTTTAAGCAAGGACTATCTGAGATAGACTTCTTGATCTCCGTCCCTGTAGGTCTAATGGGCGGAAGGCAGTGAGACAGTGTACTACACTGTGAATGGACAGCCAGGTATTTTATGAATGGAGACGATCACGTGATCCCAGCACCTCCCCGAACTGATATTTCCCACATAACTGTGTCAACATTCTGAGAACTGGGGTAGTTGGTTGTGTGTGCGTTTGTTTTAAAATTTAATCTAAAACTCCAAATCCCCTTTACTTCCTGAAATCAAAAATCTACACGTAGAAGAGCGAGCTTTGAATTTTTTGGGGGGGAAAGCCTTTCAAGATGTCCAAGGTGATGGATGTTTAATTTTTTTTTTATGAATGAAGAGCGTGCTATGCAAATGAGGGCGATTCACAAAAAGAGAGAACATGGCGGCCACTTCTGCTTCTAGACCGCACCGACACTGCAGCAACCTACCTCCTTCTATACCCGCTTATCAGAAGTGTGTGCTTTTCGAGGAGGGGGAACAATGTTTGGCATTTTTCTAGCTATTTTGTGTTACACTGGCCTCGGCACTGGACTTTCAAGGTTTTTCAAAAAGGTCTGACTTTAGGAATGCACTTTGTTTAAAGGAATGCATCCTAACTCGTCCTAACTCACTTAACTCTTTCCAACCCTTCAAACATAAACAAAACTTGAACTTAATCGCAGGAAAAGATACTACTGTTCTACACAGAATTAAATCCCTTCTATATCGCAAACTGTCACCACATCATTATTCCTCTAGACAGCGCCTAGGTTAAAGCAAAATATTTAAAAGTCAAACTATTTCGTCTGGAAAACACAAGAACAGCCCAAATAAGCAAAAACTTAAAAATGTCCTAGAAGTTGATTCAGTAACCGTTCTGTTCAGCAAGGTAAATTCTGTTAACGTAAATACTGTTTAATATAGCCGAAGGGCAAAAAGGAACATTCGGAATTTTTAATTCTTTTACGTTCCTAAAGGAGCGTCCGATATTCACAAAGGTAAACAAAAGTAGCTCAATATCTCCCATATTCCAAGCGTCCTTAGTCCTATTAAATGTTAAAAAAATTTTAATTTCCTAACCTTACTTTTTCACAATAACCTGATAGTTTAAAGAGGGGGGAGGGAACGAAGGCTTAATCGGTATTTAAGAGTCACTGACTCATCGAATTAAGATTCAAGAGCAGTGCGCTGCAGAAGTTGCTCCCACACATTAGTTTCCAAGTGAAATAGCTAGAAAGGAAGCAGAATGGATGTCCAAGGCATGTTGGGTAGTACGCTAGACCGGAGGAAGACACGCCAGAGGTCTTCGAGGCAAAGGGTAACTCCACTTTCATCCACGGTACTCCATCTCAAAGACACACAACTGCTCTCCTAGCCCTGCACTTAACAGAAAGCAATTAGACCCAAGGAGTGGAGGGGGTGCTGCCATTACATAAAATGGCCCCAAAATCCTACATCTAGATGCACCGGCTCTCCGGGGTTGCCAGCTTTCCGGCACCCGAGACCCCACGGGATATGGGGAAGCGCTCGGGAAAACGGGGGTGGGGGGGTGGTCAAGATCAATGAGGCGCTTGCTTACTCGTTGTCAGAAGTCGCCGTCTCCTCGCTCATCTTTCCCTCACCGTGATCCGATCTGGAGATGGAGGAGCAACAGCAGGCAGGGGAGCAGGAGTAGCGCCGAGGGGCAGCAGGCAGCGGCGGCCGGGGGGGCGCGAGGAAAGCGGCTCAGGGGCCTCACCATGGTGGACGCCTCAGCCGGAACGGTGCCCCCCCAGCCGGGAACCCCGGCCACCCCCGCGAGGGGGTGGCGGCAGCGACCTCCGCCGTGGCGACCCCAGCCTCTTCCCTGCCTCAGCGCCCGGCCGGGGGCCAAAGGAGGCCGGCTGCACAGGTAGAGCGGAGGGGGTCGGGGACGCCGCGAGGCGGACTGGACAGCAGTAGCTCCTCGGCCGCCGGGGCGCAGCGCCGCGGGGTCCGGGGAGGAAGAGCGAGCAGAGAAGCCGGGAGCAGAGGCGGTGCTTCCCTCAGGGATGCGGCGAGGAGGAAGCGGGGCTGCGCTCGGCGGGGGCCGGCGGGGGGGTGCCGAGCCCGGGCTGCGGGCGGCGACGGCGGCGCGGTTCGGACGGAGCCCGCCCCACCATCTCCCGCTCGGCCCCGCGCCGGCGTCGGCCTCAGGCTTCCGCGGGGCTGCGGCGCGGACCTTCCCGACGCCTCGGGCCGGGACTCCTGAGGGAGCGGGCGGCGGGGCGCGCGAGGGGAGGGCGGCACCGGACACCCAGGGGCCCAAGCAACCGCAGCCGCTAGTGCTGTGCAGACCAAGCCCACCAGCTGCAGCTCGCGGGCCGCTCACGCCCGCGCGGGGAGTGCGAGGGGGCGGTGGAAGCTCTCACGCCGCCCGCTCCTTCCGCCGCCGTCCCGAGCCGGGGGCGCCGCGGGAGCGGGGTGAAGTAGTCCCTCGGCCGCTCGGGGCCGCCGGCCTCCTGCAGGGGGCACACAGCGGGCGCGGGGGGCTGCCGACCGGGACACCCGGGCACCGGGGCAGTGTGGGCAGCGAAACTAAGAGCCGCCAAATCGTTGCAGGTCGAAGTCGTGTGCAGCATTGCAAGTTTCAGGAAAGTAGTCCCCCTTCCCTCCCTTTCCCAAATCGCGGGGAGCCGCGGGGCGGGGCGGCGAGGCGAGGCGAGGCGGAGGGATACGGCCGCACCGCGCGGCGTGCGTGCGCGCGCTCCAAACTCTTGGAACGCCGCGGAGGGGCGGGCGGGCCTGCCTGCACGGGCGTTGCGTGCGGGCTAGCGTTGTTGCGGCGCTTTTCTCTACCTCTCCTGGCTTGGACTATCCAAGGTGCTTGAACCAGCAGGCTGCAAAGACAGTGTGCTCAGGGAGGAAATTTGGGTGCTACTCTGTTCTGCCGTGTGTGTGTGTGTGTGTGTGTGTGTGTGTGTGTGTGTGTCTGTGTGTTTCTTCCTTGCAGAGCAAAGAATGGAACTAGCTTGAGTACATTTTAGCTCGTGGGGGTTTCGGGCTGGACTGCAAAGAGCTCCTCCTGCTGTCCCTCTGGTTGCATTGCTGCAGTCCCCAAGCTTCTTGCACCAGTGAAGATTGTGTGCCGGGGGCGGGATGGGGGGGGGGGCAGGTAGTTTTCATACCTCGTTGCCTGATTTTTACTGCGCAAGGGGTCTGCCGGGCAAGGCATTCATATCTGAAAGCTGGAGTGCTTATTAATGAAGAATGACTTCCATTGAAGCCCAGGGTAGGCGTGTTATGAATCTGGCGCATCCAGAAGCACAGGAAATAACTCCCGCTGCGAGTGCGGTTGCATAACTATAGCGCAGGAGATGCCTCTGTGCCCGAACTGCTTCAGAGGGAGGCGGAACTGTACTGAATAGGCAGCTGTCACGTTTGCATTGGTAGAGGACAAATACGTATTCATCTCAACAGATTTTTGCCCAGAAACCTGACGTTTCGGGTTGGAGCCTAGGGTCTGTCTGACGGAGGACTCGGAGCTCCCGGCTTTGCAAATTCTCTTTATCTAGAAACCCAGTCTGGGGCCTGGGGCCAGAATCCCAAGCTCTGCCAAGTTCGTGAACATCTTCCCAGGCGTCAGTCTGACTGGGGGAAATTCTTTTCACGTCTCAGGTTTGTCTGACCTGAGAATGAAGGTTGCTGCTCCAGCCACCTGGAGGAGTAGAATGGTTCCAGAAGAAGAAGAAAGAGAACTTCCCCCACTCCTGCCATCTGCTTAAGCTCGGATTGTTCGCCGGAGGAACATGCACGCTACTGTTAACATTTTCTGTATACACAGTAGTGCTTGATGTTTGAAGAATGAACGAAGGAGCGAAACCAATCATTGACCCCCCCCCCCAGTCCCCTTAATTTCTGAGGTTTGTTTATGTAACTGGCTTCCCGCCTCAGCAGGTCCCAACTGAGAGCAAAGAAAGCGGACTGTTCCTGACGAGAAATGGTGAGGGGAGGGAGGTCTGAAACAGGGATCTTTAACCTGGAACTCCCTTCGATACTCCTGCCTCAGCCTTGAGTACTGGGCTTACAGGTGTGGGCCACCATGCCTGGTTTTAACTTGGCCTTTTAGACTTGTCTCTGTGAAGAATCTAGGGTTGTTGATTCAGGCCTATTTTTCCACTGCTACCTCTAAGGTCAGGTTTGAATAAAGACCCATTATAGTATTTATATTTTAGCTCTTAAGCAAATTCCTTAAACGCTATTCCTGTATATGATGGGAATAATAGCATCTAACTAAGAGCTGTGGAACAGATTGAGATAATTTACATAAAGCATTTAGTGTAAGAGTTCATGGTAAGAACTCAGTAAATCTTATTTACTATTTTGTACAACAGAGATAATAAACTCCATGGTACAGTGGTGGCAGTTGCTCTGAAGGTTAAATGTAACTCGTTCAGTATTGTTTATTCATTCAAATCACCATCGGTCATCTTATGTGTAACCCCCTTGCTAGATACGTGACCTGGTCCTCAGTGGGCCACCAATAATGATCACTATTAGTTAAAATTAACTTGGGCTGATGTGGTGGCACACACCTGTAGTCTGAGCACTTCAGGAGACTGAGGCAGGAAGACCGCACATTCAAACCCAACCTGGGTGACTAAATGACAGTGAGATCCTGTCTACCTGTTTAGGAATAAAAAATTAGGTCTGTGTGTGGAGATGCATGCCTGTAATCTCAGCTCTGGAAGACTGAGGCAGGAGGATGAAAGTTTTAACCAGCCTGGGAAATTTAGTGACTTAGTGAGAACTTGTCTCAAAAATAAAAAAGGTCTGGGCCTCGGATGTAGCTCAGTGCCTACCTAGCAAGGGCAAGGTCCTGCGTTCAATCCCTGGTGCCACAAAAAAATTTTTTTCAATAAAGGACAGAACATGTAGCAGTGCAGACTCTGGGTTCAATCCCAACTACCATAATAAATAAACAAAAATGTTCGTAAAAGGACTGGGGATGTAGCTCAATGTGAAGGCCCTATGCTTAGTCTCCATTACCTAAATAAATAAGTAAATAAATATAAAATAATAAAGTTGGTCATTTGCAAAGCCATCTTTCACTTTTGAAGATGTGCTTCTCTTTGTTTTAGTCAGTGCATTGGGAAATCATTAATACCAGTTTTGGGAGAAGATATGAAAAGTATCTTCATGTCATGTGCCAGTCTGTGTACTGGCCACTTTTGTATGCATTGCTTACCAGCAGGAACAAGACGTGATCAATAGCCCAAAGGAATGCTTTTTAGATTGTTCTAAATCCCACCACCAAGACAAGTCACCAAAACATTCACACTACCTTTGGTGGTCCCCATGCCATGGCATTTTAGGACACTTTTGTACCCTCCACCTTTTATTTTGGCCATGCTGGGGATTAGACCCAGGAACTTCACACTGACCTGCATCTCCAAACCCTTTTTATTTTTTATTTTGAGATAAGGTGCTGGTCTGGGCTTGAACTTTGCATTCTCCTGGCTCAGCCTCCCAGAGGGCACTTTTATGCCCTTTTTAACAGTGCATTTATTGCTTTTTTTTCTCTTACCACGTTGTTGACAATCTTACCAGCTGTTTTAGAAATTGTCCTGCTCTGGGCGGAGCTCTGAGTCTTCAGCTGTGAAACAGTGTGATCCTACAGTGACACTCAGATCCTTGGAGTCTTCTAGTCTGCCCTAGAGGTCGCCCTGAACTCAAGTGGCTTTGCCCCTCCCCTCTCCTGGTGCCTGGACTTTCCAAGGTATAAGAGACATGGCAACCAAAGGCAAAGTGGGAGACCTTATTTGGATCTTGATTTGAACAAATATTTTAAAATGTGAGACAGTTAAATAAATTTGACCACCAACTGGAGATCTGATGAGGATAAAGAAATTTTAAAGTATTAGTTTGTGATTTTTTTTTTGTCTTTGTCTTTCAGAGGTACATACTGAAATATTTACAGGTGAAATAATATAATACCTGAGATTTAATTCAGAATAATCTAATGTGAGAGTTTTGAGGGAAAAATGGGTAGAGATATAAAGGAACACAAGACTGTAGATTAATAATGAGTGCATTTTAAATTTTTATATACTTGAAATTTTTCATAATAATGTTTTTTCCCAATATACCATGAGTACTTATTTAAAATGTAGATTCCTAGGCACCAACCCAGTTATTGTGATCAATAGACCTGTACTGGGGCCAAAAAAATCTGCTCTTTCAAAAGTATTCCAGGTACTTGGTCCTTCTTTAATCCTTCCACCCCTTTCCCCCTTTGCAGCACATCCCTAGCTAAAACTATTCCAGCCAACACCCCCTACATACAAAGTGTACAGTATTCCAAGATAGAGCATAGTAAATATTGGTCAAAGCTAAAGGGCTCATTCAGCTAAAAAAGGTAGACTCAGCCAGCCTTGACTATGTGAGAGCTAAATAGTGATCATGGTGTCACTTGAAGTTTCAGTGCCATTCAGTTGGTACTAGAATAGGAGTCAAGGCTCAGCAGGAAAGGGAACATTTGTACAGTAAGTCCCTGACTTAGGAACATTTAAGTTGGGAACTTTCACAGATCTGAACAGTTTTTTTATGCTTTACATTGTATATTTGAGTCAAAGGTATGTAAGACTCACTTTGTCAGACTTACTAAAGAATCTGACTTACGGACATTCTTCCAAAATGGAACTTGTTCATAAGTCAGGGACTTACTGTACAGTGGTACCTGGGTTCGTGAACTTAATTCTTTCCATGATTCTGGTGGCAAACTGAATTGGACAAAAATCAAATCAAATGTCTCCCTAAGGTCAACATTGAACCTAACCATTGAATTTAATTCTGTGTTTTTTGGTACCGGGGATCAAACTCAGGACCTTGCACTTGCAAGGTATGTGCCGGAACCACTGAGCTAAATCCCCAGCCCTTGATTCAATTTTTTATCAGAATTGCAGGAAGAATTAACTTTGTAAGCCAAGGTACCACTGTATTTGTATCTTCCAGGTGGGAAGTTGCTGGTCACAATAGCTGGTTCTCACAGGTGCCTGGTTCTCTCTACCATTGTCCACAGCTTTAGGGATTAGCCACAGCCACCTAACAATCTGTTATAGGTGATTAATTATCAATAGCGGTCATGGGCCACGGAGAGAGGAACAACAGCCTAATTGCTAAGTTACTTCCAGGAGAGGATATCAACAAATTTAAGAAGGCGAATGTAGAGTCTAAATCCCAGGGTTTGCAAGGACACCAAGGACTGTCCTTACTGAGGCACTGGCAATGGCTCTGCAGTTCAGAGCTTTCTCCCTCTTTCCAGACTTCTCACTTCCATAACAATCATTTTTCTTTAAAACTCAGACTGTCACAAACTGTAGTAGCATGAGCCCATACTCCCAGCATTTGGGATGCTAAGGCAGGCGCATCCCTTGAGCCCAGGAGTTCAAGACCAGCCTGGCCAACACAGCAAGACTATCTCAAAAAACAAACAAACCCCAAATTTTTGTCTTAGCCTCTTTTACTTTTTGCCTGCTTACACTTGTATTGATTTTTTGTTAATTAACTTTTGATGAGTATATGTTTTTCCCCAGTTAATTTTTTTTTTTGTACTAAGGATCAAACTCAGGACCTTATGCTCACCAGGCAGGCACGGCATCTTCCCCAGTTAAATTTCAAATGACATAAAAGCAGAGGCTGCATTTCAGGATTTGCGGGGGAGGGGTCTTTAGCCATGGCTTTAAATAATAGAGCTTTTCAGGTGAAAAATTATATCAAAGCCTGGTCTCTGTGACACAATGAAGCTGTGTTGCCTGACACAATCAGGAGTTCCCTCTGGCTTCCTGTTGTGATATGCACACTACAGTAGTTTATCATTTCTCATACACTGTGCCGAGCACTGTTAGCTCTTAGCAGTTATTTGTACACTCAAGAAGCCAAAGAGAAGACAGTTAAATCAACATTTTTGAGGTTCTAGTAGTACATAAAATACAAGTGCACATTTCCATTTTAAAAATTACCCTTAGTATTACTTCTTAGCAGATGTCATTACATTCTTTATTTTAAAACTACTTATCAGAGAACTATATTTCCATGTTGTACTGTACTTTGTTTAATGAATTTTTTTCCTTCTTTAGTCTCTTGACTAATGAGCTCTGCCTCTAGGTGGAATTACTAAATGGTAACCGTGTTTCTAAATAGTTTCCTTGCCTTTGGCATGAGTCTGTTTCTCCATCACTAGAGTTTCCATGTTTTTGCGAACTAATACAAAGTATAGAGGATAAGTATGCTATTTTCTTTTTCTCTCTAAGGACTGCAATTGTTGGTCTGGTAGTATCCGGTGAGTGTGAAATCAGTTTACTTTTAATGCTCCAACTGCCTTTTACAGGAAGTTTCCACAAGATTACGACAAGTACAAGGGAAATGAGCAGTCTGCGATTTCCTTTATGCTCACTCAGTATAATCTTAGCAGGGAGGATGCTTAGGAGACCTAGGGCTACTAAATAAAGCACTCCTCTCCACCCATTGCTGTCCTCCCAAATGGTTTTGCACTCTCCTTCTCATTCTAAGTCCCATCACAACAAATATGAAGGATTAAAATGTCCATCACAGAAGATTTCCAAGCAATGTGCATGCTCTACAAATTTGTTACAACAAAGCAATCTGGACAGTTCTTAGGTTTTGGGTTTTTGTTTTTTTCCAAGACAAAGTTTCACTATGTAGTTCAGGCTGGTTTTGAACTCCTGTAGCCCCAGCTGCCTTGGAACTCACAGTAATCCTCCCTTCGGCCTCAACCTTCCAAGTGCTGGAATTAAGGCATGTACCACCACACTGGCTCTTAGATTTTGCTTTATGGCATTGACTTCTCTTTTAATGAGTAATAATGAGCCATTTTCTGGGACTTTAAAACTGACAATATCCTCCAGGAGCTGACCTTCCTAACACCGTCATCAGTTCAGTGTTATCAACTCTAGTTTACAAAGAGACTGGGGATTTGAAGATCAGAGAGGTTAGGTGAGTAGCACAACAGTGGTGTGTCTACAGCTGAAACCCAAATCATCTTCTCCTTCCACACCCGTGTGCTCGTGTGTTTGTGTACCTGGTCCTGTTGTGGCAAAGCTGAACAGCTCAGTGTTACAGCTGAGTGTTACAGCTCAGAGTCACAGCCAAGTGCCGCGGGTCTGAGGCACAGCTGTGTGTTACAGCTCTGGATTGCAGCTTTCACAGCCTGAAGACTCGAGAATCCGAGGGTCACTCAAAGAGGTGGAGAAAAACCTTTATTACACATCAAGCTCGGAGGAGTTCATATTCTGAAGTCTGAGTGCTTCACCAGCAATGAGAACCTTCTTATATAGGGATCCAGGGGTAGGCGAGCATGCTCATTGAAGCTGGGGTGGGGTGGGGGTGGGGTGGAGTTAACAGAACATTCTTGAAAGAGGCGGAGCTAACATTCTTCAGAGGTCGCACAGTTCAAACAGTTACAAAATATTCTGATACACTGGACAGGAGTATTGCAGCACAAACTTACATTTCTGGAACAAAAAATTTTGTGGAAAAAACCCATGGAGGCGAGGCAAGGGCCTGCCTTATTGTGTATTATCATTCGATCAGTCCATGTTCCTGTTTTTCAGTATTTTATGTAATACCTAAATGAGGGGATCCTAGGTAGAATATATGTTCCATTTCAAGTTGTTATACTTTGGATGATGAATTGGCAGGAGAACCCTGCTTTTCCAAAATGGGTGGACTCAATTCCTTGGCTGTTATCAAGCTGCTTTCTATGGACCTTTGATGTATGGGTTTCCTTATCGCATTAGTTCTCAGGGGGCAGTCTGGTGACCTAGGGGATTATTCAGGCAAGGAGCTTCTCTATTATCCCAGGAAGTCCTGGACACTCTAATGTGCAAGTGGATTGCTGTAAACCATCCTGGTAGTTATCTTGTTAATGTAGACGTGTAACGATCGTTATGCTTTCAAATATGTTATTATTAGCTTGAACTGGGGCACTGCATTTCCCCTTTTGATCATAGATTATCCATTCATTGCCATTCACTAAAGGTAAAAGAGGATAACTGCATATTTAAATTCATTGATAAAACCCCAATATCTATCTTGGGAATCACAAAATAATTTATTTTCTAAAACTATTGTGCTTTTGTTTGATACTGTAAATTCTTGCTACTCAATGCTGCAAAGCTTGCCGTGAAAGCTTGTAAGAACGATGGGCTCTTTCCCTTCACGCCAGCCTTGCTGAATCAGAGTCTGTGTTTAGTAACATCCCCATGTGATTCATCTGCACATTAAATCTCGAGAAGATAGCCCATACCTTTAATCTCAGCACCTCTGGGGGCTGAGGCAGGAGGATCCCAAGGTGGAGTCCAGCCTGGGTAACTGAGTGACTTTGTGAGACCCTGTCAAAAATGAAAGAAAGGAAGGAAAGAAAAAAGAAAGGCAAGGAGAAGGGAGGAGAGGGGAGGAGAATGAGGGGAATGAAAGGGAGGAGAAGGGAGGGGGAGAGGGGGAGAGGAGAGGAGAGGGAAAGAAGGGAGGGAAGAGAAAAAGAAAAATGGAGGCACTGTTCATTGGGCTAGAGAGAAGAGGACTATGCATACATGTACAATCCACTGACCAGGTACAGGGAGAAAGCCTGCTTTCCTGGAAATCACATTCTAGCTAGGAAGACATGGAAACTAGAAGAAGCACGTAGACAATACAAAATGCAGTATGACTAAATGCCTAGTAACTAATAAAATTACCTATTATTATTTTCCTCCAATG